GCCTCGAACTCACAGAGATCCGCCTGCCTCTGCCTCCCGAGTGCTGGGATTAAAGGCGTGCGCCACCACTGCCCAGCCTCCATTTATCCACCATCGAACCACTCATGCATCCCCACATCCATCAACCATGCATCTATCCATATATCCATCCATCCTCCATCTATCTATACACCCTTCATCCATCAGTCATCTATCCATACATCCTCCATTCATGCACTCATCCACCTATCCATACATCCTCCATTCATGCACTCATCCACCTATCCATACATCCTCCATTCATGCACTCATCCATCTATCCATACATCCTCCATTCATGCATCCATCCAACCCACTATTCATCCATCCATCCTTCATCCATCTATCCGTCATCTAACCCTCACCCACCCATTCCTCAGTCATCTTTCTATCCATCCATCTAGCCATTATCTATCTACCCATCATTTTCTATTTATACATCTATACATCCATTCTTCATCCTTCATCATTCATCTAATACCCCTTCCAACTGTCCATCCATCATCCATCTACATTCATGCATCTATATAGCCTCCATTCATCCATCAGCTATATATCCCTCTATCCATCTGCCTATCCATCTACCCAATTTATGATCTATTTACTCTACCTATCCATTCACCCACCCATCATTTAGCTATCTGTCTCTTTATCCACTCTCCCACTCATCCAGCTATCGTTTATCTATTCATCTATCTTTTCAGATACCTATTATTTATTTATTTCTGTTGTTGTTGTTTTGGTTTTTTGTTTGTTTGTTTGTTTATTTTTTCAAGACAAGGTTTCAGGGCTGGAGAGATGGCTCAGAGGTTATGAACACTGGCTGTTCTTCCAGAGGTCCTGAGTTCAATTCCCAGCACCCACATGGTGCCTTACAGCCATTTGTAATGAGATCTGGCTCCCTCTTCTGGCCTGCAGGGATACATGCAAACAGAATACTGTATACATAATAAATAAATAAGTCTTAAAAAAAAAAAAAAAAAAGACAAGGTTTCTCTGTAGCCTTGGCTGTCCTGGAACTCACTCTGTAGACCAGGGTGGACTTGAACTCACAGAGATCCACCTGACTCTGCCTTCTGAGTGCTGGGATTAAAGGCATGCACGGCCACTGCCCAGCCAGTTGTCTATTATTTATTTGGTTTTTTTAAGACAAAGTTTAGTTATGCATCCCAGGTGGTCTAGGGTATTAGCAATCCTATCTCAGCTTCCCAGAAGCTGAGATTATAGGTGTGAGTCATTATACCTGGCCTTCTATCAGCCATCCATCCCTCCCTCCATCCATCATCTATCTGTCTGTCTGTCTATCTATCATCTATCTATCTATCTATCTATCTAATCATCTGTCAATCATTTATCTGTCTATCTTCTATCCATCATCCATCTATCTCTCTTTCAATCATCTATCATCTTCCTTCCTTCCTTTCTTCTGTCTAGCATTTCCTGACTCTCTTTCTCTAACTGAACCCTGGTTGATATAGCCTCCACCACTAAGAGCACCATAACTGCAGCCTTTACAGTTCAAGTCAGCATTGATGCCCGAGCACCGTGCACCACATATCCCTGTCTGCCAGGGCCCTTCCGCCACCATGTCTATTGTCATCCTTGGGGGCTGGCACTGAAGTGACTCCGCCCCTCTGCACCGGAGCAGGTGCTCTTCATAACCCAACATGGGGCTCAGCCAGCAGAACTCCACCAAGAACGTTTCTGAGCCAGAAACAGAACTACAGCAAACAACCAGCTGCACAAAATGCAAAAAAAACCTCACAGGTGGTTCCTGAGTTCCCAGGATGGTGCTAAGGGACACTACAGTTTGCTGCAGTTACAGTTGCTTTGAGGCCTGCACTGGGCACAGTCCTTCAAGCATGCACAAAGTCCCCAAGCAGGCTAGAGATAGGGGCAGAACTGAACCTGAACCCGTCCCACCCCAGACCTGCTCTGCAAGTCCAGTTGCAGAGTAGGTTGGGACAGCCCTTTAGTTTGGGGAAACAGGCTCAGGGATGTTTTAGGTCTCTGCCCCAGATCACACAGTGGAACTGAGAAGCAGCGATTTGAACTTCCTATCCAAGCCTCATTGCCTACAGCCAGGAACAGTTTGCTTTGAAGAACAAAAGAGAAGGAAACTCTACAGCCATGGCCTGTCTCTGGGGATGGCCACTAGCAGAGGCACATGACACAGTGCAGAACTGGACATCGGTTGTAATTGTTACCCTAGCCACCTAACCCTGACTGAGTCTCTTAGTCTCCATGACAACCTGAGGTTCCTGCTGCCCCAAAGACTGACTGGAGGCCACCGTGTGGCCAGTCATGGCCCTGAGGAAGACAGTGTCACTTACTCACCAGAATCTGTGAAGGTAGGGACAACCCTGACTCTGACACTTGGATCCTGAGCACCCTCTGCTGTTGTCTCCAGCTGGAAGTTGTCAAAGCTGAAACTTGTCACCACACTCTGGCCAGATGTGGCTGCCATGCAGGGCTCCTTGAGGCGCTGGCTTCCAATGGAGCCCATGGCAATTCACACTGTGAGGAAAGGAGATGAGGCAGAAAAAGTGGTAAGGGGAGGAGACACCATGTTCCCACAGCTAAGTCATCAGGCTGCATGCCCAGGGCCATCCTGTCATTCATTCCTTACCCATTTGTTTACTTGTTTTAACATATTTTGCTGAACTGGGGATGAAGCTCAGAGACTCATACACGCTATATAGGTGCTCTACAGTTAAGCCACGCCCCTAGTCCCTCACTGGGGGATTCTAGGCAGGTGCTCTACAGTTAAGCCACGCCCCCAGTCCCTCACTGGGGGATTCTAAGCAGGTGCTCTACAGTTAAGCCACGCCCCAGCCCCTCACTGGGGGATTCTAAGCAGGTGCTCTACAGTTAAGCCACGCCCCAGCCCCTCACTGGGGGATTCTAGACAGGTGCTCTACAGTTAAGCCACGCCCCCAGTCCCTCACTGGGGGATTCTAGGCAGGTGCTCTACAGTTAAGCCACGCCCCCAGTCCCTCACTGG